GGGAAGGATACTTGGTCGCAGTGGCCATTCAAGATGAGATGTATACTCTCGTAGGTGGTTTCAAACGCTGATATCAAATCTGTGTTTCAAATCTGCGAAACTCTTCTGGGAACAAAGTTACGGGACCGATGCATCCCCTGTGTTGTAGCACTGTACCGAGCGGATCAACGAGTCGAGCAAACATAGTACTCTGCAATGGTATCCTAGCGGCTAGTGCGGTGGACTGGCAGGCTTGACATCAAGGTTCGATTCCTTGGTGCATCTGCTCGCTTTGCTTTTCCGTGAAATGCGTCCTAAGCGCTTGCAAAACGTTCTTGGGCTCAATGTTATGCATCTACAGGGCTTCCTCATAATATTGGAACACTTTAAAGGTATTACAAGGAAGGTTTTTTTGCTCCTCACCGGCCAACTTTGGTGGAGCTCTGTTCGAGCGAGAAGCACATTCTGAATATTCGCTCAAAATGAGCTCAAGAGGCATCAAGAAGAAGGGTTCCAAATGATTCATAGAATCAAACGCTCTCCAGCACGTTATCAGCGAATGTTCTGAACGAATGTATTGTCATCATACTTTATGTAGGAGTTTCATTCTTGCAGCATTACTTGGGCACCATCTAGGAATGAAGAGCTCTCGAACCGTACTTATCGATGCTATGAAAACAAGCCCGTTATCCTTTGCGTGAAGTCGAGTCCGTGAAAGGCGATCACATTGATCCTCTGCGGTCGCCTGATGAAGACAGCGACGATGGGCCCGTAACGTCGCGAGTTACACCTCCTACGTTCGTGGGGATATAGAGGTTCCGAAGTGAAACGTAGCCTTCAAGTTTGTGATCTGGCCCATGAGCTCCAATTTTATGGCGCTCGAAGGAGAATCCATTGCCTTCAGTAGCTGGAGTGTCAAAAGGCCGCAATTCCTCGAACATGAATATCACCACAGAGTGCCGTCCGCGGAAAGTAGAAGGGCATGAGCTTTCGAATTAGTTTATTTTTGACAACTTACGGTGTCTTATGTAGGCGCAATCATCAGCTGCCAAACAAGCGGGTCGATGTGCGTACTTATTGAGATTAGCGGATAAGTTGGAAGGATTATTTATCATAAACTTAATATTGGAGTTCTACTGCACGACAGTCATTTCCACTGAATACCACTTCAAACCAACAGTTCAGGCCTACAGGGAAATCTCATGAAAGGACTACTTGGAAGGACGTTTAGCTCAGGAATGAGCGGATAATCATATGTGCACACATAGCGATAAACTACTGTTCTACAGTATTTCTTCAACAGTGGCTGTTAATTTGTATCACCGCTTCGGAAGCGCGTACAATCTCCTTAGGATGTCCGGACAGGAGGTGGTCTGTTGAGTCATTCGACCGCCGTCTACCGTAAGTGTAGGGAGCTGCCTATGATTTAGAAACACTTTTTATTTGATCCCCATTCCCAGTAGTCCTAAATTGTGAGGAAGCCTTGTAGATGCCCAACATTGAGCCCAAAAACGTCTTGCAAGGTTTAGGACGCGTTTCATGGAAAAGCAGAACGAGCGTATGCATCAAGGTGTTGAACCTTGATGTCATGCCTGTCAGTCGCCCGCACCAGCCGCTAGGCCACCAAAGCACAGTACTGTGTTTGCTTGACTCAGTGATCAGTTCGGTATAGTGCTATAACACATGGGAGGCATCGGTCCCGTAACTTTGTTCCCAGAATCGTTTCGCAGATTTGAAACACAGATTTGAAATCAGCGTTCGAAACTACCTACGAGGGTATACATCTCATCTTGAATGGCCACTGCGACCAAGTATCCTTCCCTTGTGAGGCTTCCGTCATTATTCATTACATCACTATTTTTATGAAGACTCTAAGTTACTCGGATACCACCTTCCTCAGAATGAATAGAAGGCATCTCTAGAGAGCTCTGTTCGATGTGAAATGAGTGAAGCTTGTTTTCTTGGATACTGCTTAGTTATGGAATGATACAGGAAGTCGACTCGAGAATCATACCTTTCTGAGGCTTCCGACAGTAATCAGAACCTTGTTGGTTTTTTGCGGGCTCGAATTTGCTTTGATACCACCTTGTACAAAATGAATAGGACGCAAGTTTAGGTAGCGTTCTCTAATCTGAAAGGAGTGAAACGTGTCTGTTCCGAATATGCTCGTTTCGGGAAATGATGAAGAAAGTAGATTTGAAAAACGTACTTACGGAGGTATTGAGCAGTATTGAAACCTCTTAGGAGAATATAGTTCGAGGTAGTTAGGAGGGTAATGTGGGAAAGGTGGCTTTTTTCAAAATAAATACCCTCATACCGTTTTTGTGACTATTTCGAGCTAAAGGTTGCAGTGTGTTTAATTCAAGTCGCAGTGTGTCTGATTTTTCGGCCCCAGTTAGTGCTTTATATGGCAGGGCCTCTGCCCTGCCAAACTACACTGGTGTGCCAAACTTAGGGACGAGATGGTTAATGTAAATTAAAACATTGAGGACTGGGTAGAAATAAATGAATGTGTGGGATTATATTGCTAGATCTATGACGGTTATGCACAGGAAGTTGGACATCCCTTGGTGGAGGAATAGTTCAAAAAAAGCGACAAATATGGCTACCCGCACAAATCGAGGCAGCTGATAGGTACGAAAAAAAATTAGTCAATCAGCCAGTAGCTACCAAGTACTGTGGTGTTATCCTTCTATACATCATATCCCGCAGACATCGTCTGGATGGCCTGGCACGAAGAAGGATCATCGAGAAACTCGAAAAAGGTCGAACCATGACGAGCGTAGCTCAGGAACCTGATATCGCTCAAAGCGTTGTTTCACGTGCACGGGGAGCATTCCGAACCTCTTATACTGCTGCACGAAGGAGAGGAGGTGGTCACCCACAAACAACTACTCTAAAGTCAGACCGCTACATTGTGCAGTAGGCAAGAAGAGATCCACGTCAGTCAGCTTCTTTGATTGCATTGTCCTTCAAAAGGATTTCAAAGCAAGCCATCCCAGGCACTACAGTGACACGACGACTGCACGGTGGCGGTCTTTTCGCTCGACGACCACTACAAAGGATTTCTTTGACCCTCGCGAAATGGCGAGACGGTTTAGGGTGGTGCCAGGAGCACAGCTAACGGACCGATGAGAAATGAGGCCGTTTGCTTTTTCGGATGGGAGCAGATTCAGCCTGAGCAGTGATTCTGGACGCTCCCTCATGGCCAGAGCTGGGGACACGCACTTCTCTCAGAAACGTGGAACTTGATCGTTCTGGTGATCGAGGTGTTATGGTATGAGGAGGCATCATGCTTCGCAACCGTACTAACCTTCAGATTTTTGAGCGTGGCCCCTTAATAGTCGGCGTTACTGTAAAAAGGAACCCCTCCCTAATGTGTATCTTTTCAGGGCTACAGTGAGCCCTGAGTTCATTTTTATGGATAACAATGCGCGATCGCATCGAACAGCTCAGGTGAAAGAGCTCTTGACACAAGACGTTATCCAGCGAATGGAGTGGCCTGCCCGTTCCTCTGGCCTGAATCCCATCGAGCACGTGCAGGATGCACTGGGTAAAGGCATTGCAGCACGTCCAAATGCACCACTGACCATACAGCAATTGTTAATTGCGCTGAAAGAGGAGTGGAATGCCCCGCCACAATAACTCATTTCCAACCTCATGGAAAGTATGGGATCGCGTTGCAGAGCATTTACTGCTGTCCGTGGTGATCACGTACCCTATTCGGGACCACGTCGCTTTTTTTGAAGTACTAGGATAAGTTGTGAGGAACTGTGTGTAATCGGTACCATTCGGTAAAAATGCCTTATTTGCTAGTCCTATTTCGATTTTCTGCCAGTTACTTCCTGTGCAATACCGTAAAGGTCCTCCCTTTGTATGATATGAATTTCATCGAGCTCTGTCGTCCGGCAGAGGTTCAGTGATCGAACGTTGCTTTCGTCCCTAAGTTTTGCACACCAGTGTAGTACTTTTTATATCTTACAAGACTTCTGAACAATTAGTTCAGCAAGCTCTTATATGTTAATTGTAACGAACTATCATTCGTTTGTACTGTCGAAAAGGTCACAAAAAGAGCTTTTTTTCTCCACGCTCCCGCTTCATGGCAAGGATCAGTTTGCCCTACATGCACAATAACCACAGAGTCATTCGAGAACATAAGTAGACTTTATACACATTGACATACGACAGAATTTTTTCAAATTGAGTTTCATCGGCTTGCAAGTATCAAGTGAGTACGACTGGCTCATATTCAGCGATGGTAAAGTTGCTATTACATATGTAGCGTCAGACTTCTAGCCCAGGACCGCACTCTGGTCCACATCCCCTCTTCTTTGTAAATAGCATTAGAAACTCTATCTAGATAACTTTTCCTCCTTTCTCCCTCCCTGCATGTGATGCATACGACCAAATACGTAATGTTAGTGCTGTTGATTATGGAATGCTATATGGATGTAGGAAGCAAATCTGCTCAATGAGACTTCATAAAAAGTTATGTTTGTAAGCGAATGGGACTCCACTAAGAACGGTGTAGAGCAATGTGCTGCAATCTGGAATATGTTTTCCTCACTGCAAAGTGGAGTACCACACTGCTGGAGGGGAGAGGAACATGAGCGAATATGACGGAGTCCCAAAAATGGTCATCGATTTCGAACAAACGGAGCGCATTTCAGAATCTCATTTACCAGGAGCTTTTATGGATTATTATGTGTTATTCCAACGTTTCATAAACAGTTTTTTTTCACATTTTATTGCAGGTTGTCGTGAAATCCAATTTCAAACCGTCTCTGTTGGCTCAGAAGATTGAAGTGCGGATTCCCACACCACCCAACACATCCGGCGTTCAGCTCATTTGTATGAAAGGAAAAGCAAAGTATAAAACTGGCGAGAATGCAATAGTTTGGAAGTGAGAGATTGTGCTTTTACTTTGATACATCGCTTCGGAGTGACAACATTCAGTAGTTCTCTTCAGTAATGAGGAATCTTGCAGAATCAAGCGTATGGGAGGGATGAAAGAAAGTCAAATTTCTGCTGAAATCGATCTTCTTTCTATAGGATCTGACAGGAGGAAGTGGAATCGTCCTCCAGTCAGTATGAATTTCGAGGTTATCCGACTTTGTTCACATTATCCATTAATACATATCACGATGCTTGCTGTTAAATTCAGGTACCCTTCGCTCCCTCCGGCTTGAAAGTGCGCTACTTAAAAGTGTTCGAGCCGAAATTAAATTACTCAGATCATGATGTCATTAAATGGGTGCGTTATATCGGTCGTAGTGGTCTCTATGAAACAAGATGCTAATTCATCTAGTAAACGAATTTGGGATATTATGAAGTTATTTCGATTCCTGAATCTTTTGCTTTGCTTTTTCTCTCCCGTTTTATTAGTTGACTTCGTGCTCTGTTTTTGTCAGTTGTCCAATAGTTACTTCAAGACCATTTGCTCTCCGAACTAATTTCTTGTTTTGTATGAATAAATCTGTCTGTTACTGTATCTTTGAAGTGTTGGCAATCGTCTCAGAACTAAATAAACTCTAAAAATGGCAATGCGCCTGGGTTTATATCAGCATACCCTGCCTTGTACCTCGAGTACTCGAAGAAGTTCGGGAAGCTCGTACCCGTCTTTGTCATCACACATTCCAATCATATTCTACAGAGAAACCTTGCTGCAAACTTGGCCATTCGACTTCTACTATGGCCGCTGCACGCACCGTCGCGAAGTACAGCGGCGAACCATCCAACCTTCAGACTGAGCTCGCGATCTGCAGTGCTGTTGTCTTTAGGTAGTCCAAGTTTGCGAGAGGTATCGATACGACCTTCGTGGAAGAAAAAGACAAGGTATGCGAAGAATAGTCAGTAGTGCAACGGCAGGCGTCATATATCTGCTGGGTTAAAGTTGTGTTCTACTTAAAAGGGTTAATGAAGTACGACGCAAGACTCTGGTAGCAAAATCATACAAATCAAACCATTAGGAAACATTTGCTCCTATTATCAGACCATTAGGAAACATTTGTCTAAATTCAGTCGTTTCATGAATTTCAAACAACATCACATTGAAAGAACCGCCTTTCGCTTCGCTTCGTGTAAGCATCCAATCTCTTCCGGAATTTGCTAAAAAGGTGCGCAATTACTTCCAACGAGATGTAGCCTTACGCTTTCACAAGAGTTTTTTTTCAGAGGTCCAAAGACCTGAAAAACGCGAGGTTTTAGCTTCAAAGTGGACCATAGAGCAAAATTCAAAGGAATGAAATCGAGGAAGGTAGTTGAGGTTCTTCGCATTTCATCTCTTGGCTCAAGAAATCATCACATCCTCCATGATCTGCTTTGTGGGGGATTTCGTCGTCAATTTTCACTCCTTTTTCCCCGGCTTGGTTTTTCCAGAGCTATATATTCCAGCCCACACCATCACCGACTGCGGATAGTAAGATTTTTGTTGCAAATCATTTCGACGGGAGTATCCGTTAATTCTATGCGTTTCGGAACGGTCCAGTAGTAAATATCGTTTGTAGAGAGAATTCTGTACACTGTTACTTCAATCTTGAGGCCTTCATTTCGTCCGTAAGTTTTTCCTTCGCAATTCCGAGAGAATATGAGTGTATATCCCCTTGATTAATCGTTGCAGTCTCTTCGAATTCCTTCACGATGAAATTCAAGCGTCTTGGTTGGAAATCTCAGAAACTGACGAACCGCGTTTGTACATGGCGATTACTGCTGAACGATCCTCAAGTGATACCATCTGAATCAAGAAATACTAAAGAAGACTGCCCACAAAAGGTTCAAAAAATGTAGGAGAATCGAATGATTTTATGATATGGCGAAAGAAAAAACTAAGAAGCTCAGGGAACAATTTACAGCCCGTCGCACTTCACGTGAGTTACTCTTCGTGTACGTTGTTGCAGGGAAGCAGCGGTGGCAAAAGTTTATTAGCGGCGCTAAGTGGTGGTGTGTACTAAGTACCTCTTTGACTTGCTTTATTCAGGTGTGATTTTCAGCAGAATGTGTTTCGAGAGCAATTTCTGCGTATTCGTATTTCTGCGCCTTGTGCGTATTACAGTGTTGAAAATGAAAGAGTTTTAGAATTCACAATCAGAAACATTCCGCCTTGAATGACTGCGACGAGCATAAATGACTCCGATAGTGCGGCATTCATTGTAATGTATCTCAGAAAATGTTACATGAGCTGTTTCATAAAGGGTGCAATGCTATGTAAAAGCCTCGGAGATGGTATGGAGCAAATCCTCCCTCACCATCCAGAGAGTTGCTGCCTCGAAACTAAGCTAGCTAATTCCAAGGCTCATAAATTAAAAGAAACATCAAACTTATCCAATTTGTATATTCGTAGCATCATCAATGCACACCGAACTTTATCGACATATCTTGATGCGCCGTTTATACACTCTCCCTCCCTACAAACATACAGGTATGAATTACCTTAAAATGCCATAAATAGGAGCGGTTTAGTTTACCGGCGAAAAATGAATTGGAATGAAATTGGAATTGAATGCAGTTACCCCTCTAACTTGATGGATGGATAAATAAAAATCGGAGAAAAAGTTTAGAAGAAGCTCCGCCCCTCAACGCTAAACCCCGCCCACTTAATGAAGAATTCATATAGAAAAATAGCGATCCGCTAAAATCAAGTTAGTGGGGTAACTGCATTTAATTTCAATTTCATTCCAATTCATTTTTCACCGGTAAACTAAGCCGCTCTTATCTATGGAATTTCAGGGTAACTGTCATAAGATTGTACATGAGAAATGGGAGTAGATCATTTCGACACAGCAGGTCATAGACTCTGCTGTTACACTAATGATTAGTCTACATATATCCCAGATTACTTAACAATCTTATCATCCTTATTTATTATCGATACCATCAAAAAAGAAACTCATAAATCATGTGTGGCAAGTTCTGCCTTGTTTGATGAGCGAGACGATGCCGTAAACAAGTCGATTACTCGAATTAATATACGAAAATTTTGTGAAAGCCTTCAAGCCAAGCCAGCGCTGCAAAAAACGATGACGATGAAAGGAAGCAAGCTCAAAATCTCTGCCTGATGAGGGAGCGACGCGCACTACCTCTGCGTCACGTAGGGGCTTGGTACCCTGCGGGCAGGTGCGTATTTCACCTGAAAATGTTTCGAAGGGATTTTTGAAAATTTTATATTTTTATTTAGCGTTTCACATTTTTTGTTTAATTTATTTCGAAATTTCTTTTTACTTTTCTGGGGAGTCCGTTTAGCATATTTCTTATATTCATATACTGCAAATTGGAGGATGTGGTGCGATTAACGCGTCAACATAATGAGGTCATTGGATCTGAATATGAAGTCGACCACTGGGAAGTCCCGATAGGTTGCTGAGAGGAGAAGACGTTGAGTAAAATGGTGCCACCCAGCAGCAGCGGCGTCTCTCGAAGACTAGTCCTCAGCTTCCAACTAGCTAAGCGGTCGAATCATGACTGTAAGGATCCTTGCTATATACAATCCACAAGTTTGGTGTGTCTGTTTGTATGTATGTTTGTCTGTCTGTCACACAATCCGGTTTCACCTAAAAAAACACTTCAGGGGTCGGGACATGTTCGGGATGCGTGGAGCCCAAGACAAAATTAATAGAGCGCATGCGAGCTCTGCGGAGCTCCGCCCACGGGGGGGGGGCAAGTGCCGGAATGGGCAGTGCCAACAGTCAAACATCTTATTTTTGCTTCGAAAAAGTCCAGACACCGGGGAATAGTGTTCGAAGGTGAGGATTGGGTCAACAATTCAGACGGAGGAGAGCCATGTGCTGTGAGCGGAGCTTTCTCATAATGGGCGGTACTTTTTAGATGTGCTTATAACTCGACTCAATTAAGGCGCAGAGGATGCTGGGCACGCGTAAGCTAAGCGATGCTCCGCCCACGATGGGCGGAGCATGCGTTGAGACGGAGGCTACTTTTCGAAATGCACTAAAGTGTGCAGAGCTCAGATCGAAAGCTTATAAGTCTGTTCAGAAACGTTTTGGGATGCGGCGAAAAGGTGTTAAGGTGTAGAAGAACAAATGTTGTCAAATCCCAAAAGTGGGCGGGGTTGGCACTAAAGTGGGCGGAGCTTACACAAAAAATTTATAACTCTGTTGAGAAACGTTCTGGCGTGCTGCAGAGAGGTGTTAAGGTGTAAAAGAACAAATGTGGTCAAATCCTAGGAGAGAGCGGAGTTGATACTGAAGTGGGGGAGGCTTAGATCAGGAGTTTATAACTCTATTCAAAAACGTTGTGGGAGGGGGGAAAAGTGGTAAGATGTAGTAGAAGAGATGTGGTCAGATTTCACAAGTGGGCGGGATCGGCGCTGAAGTGGACTTACATCGAAATTATTAAGTCCCTTCAGATGCGTTTTAGAACGCGGGAACAAGGTGACTGGAAGTAATGAAAGTAATGTGGTTCGAAGTCTGAAGTGGGGGGGGGGCTTCGTTCAAAAATTTATACATCTGTCCTTCACGCTAACACTGACCTCGTAGGTGTACAACTAGGGGTTACCACTAAACTTTCTCAAAAATTAGGCTTAAAATTTTCTAGAAGTCAGTATCTATTGTTCCACACACAGTAGCTCCTTCTACACAAGAGCAAATGCATTGCATTACATCTGGTCCATAAAATAAATTCCATAGTAACCCCAGCCACACAGATACATACCCCGTAGAGACGTGCAAATCCTTACCCAAAGGGGCAATCCTTTCAAAGATAGTGCTCATGGCCACACACAGCCCCATTTCACATCCCAAAAAAATGATGGCCGCTACAGAAGTGTCTTGGAAGAAGCTCAGATGATAAAGGTCTATAATGAAAATCAGAAGCTCATGTGGCCCGGTCCTTCATGGCTAGAGCCTCTAGTGCACGCGATAGCGTGGGTAGCCGCCTTATATACTATATTAGAAAGAGCGAAGAAGGCAATTCTACTTCATCTAGGCGATGCCAATTGATCACTTCAGGAAAGAGGTTATCTTACAATAGCTGGTGATCTGAATGGCTACGTCGGCAGCGAATGGTGTAGCCCAGAAGGGGTTCACGGGAGGTTGATGAGTAAAAGTCAAAAACGAAGAAGAGAGATTTGTTGGTAAAATACTTCTACGCGGTTAGGCTCGCCCTGTTTATATATATATTTGCTATGCTGGCTCGAACTGAATAAAGAGAAACTTTAACTTGAGTTAGCAACTATTCAATCTACCAAACATGCCGACCATAATCGAGCGAAGCTCTACCGGATTACAAGAATCTGAGGATAGTATATAGGGACGACCAGTTGAATTGGTGAAATGGCTGTTATACACC